CTTCAACTATAGACTACGAAATTCTTGAAGAAGCTTTGTGGAATATTTTAAATGTTATTTTTACTATTATAATTTTATGCTATATAATATTTAGACAAAAGAAATAAGTTTTAGATATATTGTACCAATTTTCCACAATAAATACTTTTTTCAAGCGAAAAAATAGCCAAAATACGCACACACACGATTTCACCAATACATATCAATGTCTAGAATGAACAAAATAAATATTTTACTCCTTAGTCCATCTCCATTCAACATACCAAAGAAAAAAAAAAAAATATTTTACTTCTTTTTCTATGAGTCAGCAAACCAACAACAAATGATTTACTGAGTTGAGCGAAAAAAGTAATAAAAATATTTTACTAATAAAGTTGACGCTTGTTTTACATTTTCATATTAAAAATATTTGTTAGAAAATAGTTGCGTCTGTTCTGAGCACTTTGCCTACAATTTTGTATTCACATTTGCTTACAATGTTCGCTTATTTTCTATCTCCCGCTTTTCATAACGCATCTGTAGTACACACGTATAAATTGTCAAAAGCATATGTATTTTGTTTGCTTTTCCTTCATTGGTATGAAAGTTTCAAAAATTCATCTAGCTTTAAGTGTATGTAGCAGCTAAAACATACAGTTTCTTCTCACTTCCACTTTCAGCGAACTACAGCTGAAAATATCTCAAATTTATATTTGTTTCTCCTTTTCTTTGATGCTGGCAACTCTAATATTCTAGTTAGACATTGGATGATGAGAATTAGTACATAAATTGCACAACTTGCTTTCTTAATAACTTGTGATGGATTGCTTGCTACCGCAGCGCAGAAAAAATTTTTTTTTGAGAAATTTTGAAAGTAGTATTGTACTTACTAGTTTAAGAATACTTTCATCATTATTTACAGTAAAAGGTCGCAACGAATTTTTTTGGATAAAGTACTAAAGTTATTATATATGGCAACGATGAAATATGTGACCGGTTATAGGTACAATGATACTTGTCAAATAAGATTCGCATATATTGGTTGGCTTATTTCGAAAGAAACGAAAATTTTTTATGCAAGTTTAGATCTATACGTAAACGGTTGGCCTGTGTTTACGAAGTTTGTGGAAACGCGATTTTAGTCTTAAAACTTTCTATTAATTGTTAAGAAAATTGTCCAAAAAATCTTTCTCTCTCTATAAAATAACTAAGTACTCTAAATTGTTTGAAACAAAAATCAAAATTTTGTTGTAAAATATTTAAAAAAAAAAAAAAACAAAAAAAACAAATAAAAATTTTCATTAATTGAAATCGTATTAAAAGAAAGTGAAGAAAAAACGCCTATGTGAAATTCCGTGGATAACGCGATACGTTTTTTATATAGGTTTTTTTCATTAATTTTTTATATATTTTTTATAAACTGATAAAAAACTTGTGAAAAGGCAAAGCATAACTTGTACCTTTTTAGCGTGGGGGCGCAAGTTAACGTCAAGTAAAAAGAAAGGCAAAAAAAAAAAATTAAGCAAAATTATTAAGCCCATTAGATGGTGTTACATATGTTAAGATATATATGCGGGTGTGCATAGGTACGAAACTGTGCAATATATATATCCATATATATATATGCTTTAAGATGAGAAAAATTTTGATATAATTTTCTTCTTCTTTCCATCAAATGGTGGCAGAAATTTACCAGTGTATATGAATTGAGCGAAGAGCACGTACGTAGTGCAACAGAAAACGACGCAAACGAAGTGTGGAAAAGTTTAAAGAAAATAAAACAAAAAAATAAAAAATTCTTGTGTACGTTTTGAAGAGGTACGTATGCAAGTTTTATTTACTTGTGTTTATGGCTTGTATCTATACATGAAAAAGGCAATGTGTCGCGAAATTGCACAACATCATGCATATCGTTCGTTCGTCGTCGCATTGATGTGCGTGCTATAATTGTTTATCAGAATTCGCTTTTATCCATATAGTTGAGCAGATACGTAACTGAATATCTATGAAGCATATTAAAATACGTTTCACGTTTAATAGCATTATTATGGCCAAAAGATTATCAGAAATTTCAAGTTTTCTTATTAGTGCAAATAGGTTAATAAGGTTTAGGTCACGACTTAATTAGAAGATAAAAAAAGGTTCACATTCCCCGTTCAAACGAATTTCGAATATATGTATGTCAACTGTGATTGCATATTTATATTAGGGGTATTTTAGCTAGTTTAACGGAATTTATTTTATTTTAATCTCTCCCCATAAATATTTGCAGATGCTTTAGGCTGCGTGGCAGTTAATTTTTAGTAATAAAAATTTATTTGTAAGGTGAAGGAGGGCATGCAACAATCACAACTTTTAGGGTCGGTAAATCTGCAGGCTACGATCGGAATAAGAGAAAAATAAAGCCTTTTTGTTGTAGGTAGTGTAAGAACTGATTTTTACAAATTTTTGGAATTTACGTTTCCACTTGATATTTGCCTGCCGGCGATCTCTCCCGCTCGCACCTTTGTACCAATCAATGCTTTTCGCTTTACTCTTTCCCTTCCCTCTCTCTCTCTCTCTTTCTTCTCTCTATTTCGTCCCCCTCTCCTTTCCGCCTCACTCCCTCAAGCAACGATCGATCTCTCACTCTTCCTCTCTCTTCCGCTCTCTCTCCCTGCCAGAGAAGGTATTATTGTGTTAGTCTACTGATGAATTTTTTCGCAGAGCTACTATTGTTCTTAAGTCGCTTTGGACACAATTGGTAGATATTTTAATAAATAAAACTTTTGTAAAAAATTACTGATAACTGCCTTCTCCGAATGGCACATCATCCAATAAGTTCGTAGGTCGGCATACGGATATAAGATGGCAACTGACGAATCCGTATCATTAGTCGATAGTGGCAAACCTCAAAAAAATGTGCCAAGATTTCACGACGTTTCGTGTGTACCTTTGTGCTATTTATTTCGTTGGGTTTTTCAAAAACAAAAGTAGTAGACTTTATAAGAATTCTTCAATTATTACAATAAATCCGTCTGCCATGGTACGAAGTTTATAAGCGATGAGTGTGTTAAGTGCAGCAAAACATTGCTTGAAATGATGTGGGTTACTGCTAATTAAT